ACATGTTATGAATGCTGGCGTACCATAAAGAATAAATTATGAACAGTTTAGTTTGTGCTTTCAAGTCGTTGCCCATAGGAAGACGTTACTTGGATATAACCTAGCGGAATATCTTCAGAACGGCTCCAAATGACACAAAACTAATATGGGTGAGTAGAACATGATGTAACAACGTAAAATCAAGGGGCCAATGTAAAAAAGCTGAAGTTCCTCTTTAATACAGTGCTAAACAGTGGTGTCAAAAGTACACACATTTGTTACTTAAGTAGAAGTATAGATACTGCAGTTTAAAAACACTCTGGTAAAAGTTGAAGTATCAACTTGACCTCTTTACTCAAGTTAAAGTGAAAAAGTATGTGCTCCAAAAACTACTTAAAGTATAAAAGCAGTGGCGTAACTATCAGTAAGCAGAGACTGCAGTTACTTAGGGGCCCCCGACCTCTTAGGGGCCCTGTCACTGACACCACTTTGCAAATATAATGGTGCAAAAAAATCCTCTCAAACCCACCTGATACCAAATTAACTGAAAGAGCCGTATTTATACCGCAACACATGCCAGATTTCACCATGATGGTGAGCCATTTAAACACAACACCAATAGCAAAGCAGACAGTCGTACTTTTAATTACTATGTTAATAACTGTGTATAGTTCATTAGACGGTTGGTAAAAAAATACACTCATATGTTTCAAACCGCAATAAAGATCTTATAAGAATTATGTATTTGAGTATTTTATTTTTTACAATACAACTTGGACTTATGGGTGCTTCATATGAGGCCCACCCAGATAATGTTGCTTATGGGCCTATTTTTGTGTCGTTATGCCATTGGTCAAAAGTACACACATTTGTTACTTATAGATACTGCAGTTTAAAAACACTCTTTAGTCAAGTAAAAGTGAAAAAGTATGTTCTCCAAAAACTACTTAAAGTATAAAGTAACCTTTAAAAAAAAACAGCCAGATGCCACTATATGAATTAAAAGCTCAGTTTTTTGACTATTTTGAAAAAATTCTTTGAGATAGGGCCGAGGATGAGGGAGGTCTTGTTGGTCTCCATCTCTCGATACGCTCTCGCCTGTGTCCGACCTTTCAGACATTTCAACATCTTTTTCTGAATCCTACATTGTAGCATGGCATAGACAATTCACGTTTGCAGTTTGAAGAAAACCTGCTCGCTTCTGATGATTTCCTTTAGCCAGGGGCGGAGCTAGATGGGGGACCAGGGGTGGCCATGGCCATTGTTTTGGTACATTGTCCATACACCAAAACTTAAAGATGACGTTCTCTACGTCAAAAAACACTTTCGATTTTAAATTGGAATTTTTTTTTAAATCAATGTATAACATGGATGCATAAAGACTTCATTTTATTTCAATGTTAAAAGTAATGTTTAAATGTTTAAAGTAACAGATTATAATTAAAAATGTCTCCGGACCTTTATTGGCTGTTGATTTTTAATTGGTTACCCCTACACTAGGCCAACACTCCCCACATATGAATTCAACCCTAATATTCATGCATGTTTGAGTGTTTTTTGTTTTGTTTTTTGTGTGTTTGTTGTTCTGTGCATCCATTAAAAACACTGGGCCCAACCTGGCAACCCCTGGTCAATTTGTTCTAGAATCGCCGCTGGATAAACCCTCCGCTGGAGGAGGATTCTCTGAATCGGACTATGCATAATTTATGCATAATTTAATCTCAGCAGCAGCTCGTCCCAGAGGTTTGATCGAGACAATTAGCCCCACAACAGATCAGAAAGACCAAGGAGAACAACAGAATGACAGGTTTGGGGGGAAAAAAATGTAGAGATGTTTAAATGACAGTTTATAAAACATTATCTATACCTTTTAACACCTTTTGTGGTAATGGTCAGTCCATCCTATAAAAATAGAAATGTCCCAGAACAACATTTATATGACTAAAAGGTATAAGTCACCTGAACCAGCCGGCAGGGAAAGACCAGAGGTAATCAGAGTAGCTGCTGAGAGGCCTATGGTGACTCTGGAGGAGCTGCAGAGTACAGGTTGGTGGATTGATCCTATCAATACCAATTTGGCATGGATATTGAACAATTCTTGTGTAAAAACAGTAATATNTTTTTTTTTCCTCTCGTGCACGCACTGACTGCAGCAGAGTAACCAAAGTCACATGGCTCAGCAGCGCCAGTAAAAACAAGCAATATTAGTGGTTTTGTGGTAAATTTGGTTTATTGTCTTGATTTTCTTTTAAATGTTTTTGAAACTTTGTTCATTTTCCTTAATTGTAATAAAGAAAAATTGCAAAAACCAAAAGGACAACAGTTTCATAATACATCAAGCTTTTATGTATATATAAAAAAATCAAAAAAAAAATCAGTATTGATATCTTGATACTGACAACGTATTTATTAGGTGTCAAATCAATACCATAATTCCTGGTATAACTCACCTGTACTGCAGAATCTGTCGACCCCATTTTATGTTAGGATTTTTAATGAGAACAGAATTTATATCCTGCAAAACACAATCGATTAAAACAACTTCAAACAATTAAATATTAAGTTTGATCTCTAGAATACTTATTACATAAATGACCTCTTCTGCACTGACCATTGTTTTAAAATATTGAGATTTCGATTCATTTTAAGGAGCAAAATAGTTTAATTCCAGATGTTTTTTTCTACTGCTGGTCAGGAGGAAACTGATGGAAGATGTTTTGCATGTTCATTTTTTTAAGAAATAACTAAGAAACTTATATTCCAAGGCTATCCCCTCACCATAGCCGGCTGTAAATGTTCCCTTTCAGTTCCCAGACTGAATTTTTCCTCCCATAAACATGGATACATTCCTAAAAGGTCCTCTCTTCCCCAGTATTTTAAACTTTATTAATAAGCTGTTATTTTTTGTTAGAGCTCACTTAACACCCGCCCAGTTAGAGCCCCAACATAAACCTCTGAGACAAAATTATACACACAAAAAAAAAGAGCAATTTCTGCTCCAACGAAGCGAGGCCAGCTGCCTCTCACACGCAGAGGAACACTCCAAGTTTCCGTCGAGGGAAACTAGACGAAAAAGAATGTTCTTTTCTTCCCTCTCTCCAACATGTGCTGCACTCGTTAACTGTGACCGATTCCCAGAGCTCAGGAAAATAAACGGATTCTGTTGCAGAGTAAGAGGCAGACACAGTGTTGGAACAGCTCAGCAGATGTTTCACACACAGCATAACCCAGCTCAATGGAGCGAGGCTTAGAGCAAACACTAAGGAGGTGCAGTTAGAGGATGCCTGCTTCTCTGATTGAACGGCCTTTATTTCTAGCTGTTTCATCAGATCAAAAACTAATTGTTAAAACATGTTTTATTGGATCGATATGAATCAGTTTCTCTGAGAAGAAACTATGAAAGTACAATTAGAGGAAGACATTTTAATGAATGCATCAAACCACTGACTTTACCTCTAAATTCTTTTTTTTTTCCAAGAACATTTGTT